CCACCTTGGTCCCAGACATGTCCCAATTTCTTAGTATGTCAGCCCAAAGGTGGGCCACTAACTTTCCTGTTTCTCTCTCCTAAGTTGCAGACCCACATCTTCAGTCTATAGGTTCTGTAGGAAATAGCCTGAATCGTACTGCCAACATTTGGTTGAAAACATAACTAGTTGTCTTTTTACCCCATCCATATTCTCCAATATTTTCATAATATAATATGAAATCTTTCTCCTTTCTGAATAAACCATTATACTGTAACTCTTACAAAAGATGTCATCTTTCTCAAAAAGCCTTCAATATCTCTTCATTTTATAAATTTATTATTATTTTGGCCATGCTGCATAGCTTATGGGATCTCAGTACGGCCCCTAGCAGTGAAGGTGCAGAGTTCTAACCACTGGACTGCCAGGGAATTCCCTCTTCATTGCTTTTAAAATCAGATCAAACAATCTGGGAATAATAGTCAATCCCTTCCACTACCAAGCTTTAACTTAACTCAACTTCATCCTCCATTTATCATCCTATGTTGTTGTTCAGCTGCTAAGTCGTGTCCAACTCTGTCACCCCATGGACTGCAACACACCAGGTTTCCCTGTCCTTCATTATCTCCCAGTTTGCCCAAATTCATGTCCGTTGAGTCCATTGATGCTAACTCACCATCTCATCCTCTGCTGCCCTCTTCTTGTTTTGCCTTCAATCTTTCCTAGCAACAGGGCCTTTTCCAATGAATTGGCTATTTACATGAGGTGGCTGAAGTGTTGGAGCTTCAGCATCAGTCCTTCCAATGAATATTATTTAGGGTTGATTTCCTTTAGGATTGACTGGCTTGATCTCTTTGCTGTCCAAGGGACCTTCAAGAATCTTCTCCAAAATCACAATTTCAAAGCATCAATTCTTTGGCATTCAGCCTTTTTTATGGTCCAACTCTCACATCCATATATGACTACTGGAAAAACCATAGCTTTGACTGTATGGACTTTTATCATTCTTTACCCTCATGCTTTTTAAATGAGCATATTAGCTACTTCCTAAAATCAGTTCTTTTCATAAAAATTTCTCTCATGCTCTAATGCTTTTCTTCCTCTTTATCCACATTAGTATTTTACTTGTTTTTCAAACACAGCTGAAAGGTCATTCCTACCATGAGTTTGCCTTACTTCTAATTATCCCTTTTTCTTACTCCTGTCACTATTGTGCTACTTGAATATCCTTCTCTGTTACAGCTAATTGTGTATATTCATCCTCCCAACTAGATTAGGAAATACCCTTAAGGCAGAAACCAGTATTATCTTTAAATCTCAAGAGACTGGTATATTACATCCCAATGATGCTCAAATCTGCACAATCAATTAAAGAGAGGACAAAGTTTTGACAGGTGTTAATAAATGCAAGAAGACATAGCTTTACATGGTGAAAATATGCAGGTAGGGACAAGAAAGGCTGATCTGTGTGTTGGTAAAGCCGGGATGGAGCAGATGTTGCCTTAATGCAGGTTTTGGGAGAGATCTGAGACCCACGGCAATGGCATGGTGCTGCCATACTGGAGTGTGCTTCTTAAATTTGAACACGCACACACTCTCCTGTGCTGTGTATTTTTGAGTAAGCAAAACCTGAGATAGGGAGTATGAAAAGATTAACTTTTCCCCCTCTAAGAAATGCACATTTTCAAGAAAGGGGAAGGAATGATTCAACTCACTAACCACAGATTCTTTAGGTGTCTTCACTTTCAAAACATCAATTAAGTCACACTCATACTCCCTCTTCACAACCCCAGTTCCTCAGAGGATTAACAAGGTTATACCATGCATGTACAACAAGAAAAACCAACCCTTGGTAGGTCCTTGCTTGATCACTTCTAGCAGTAGCTCATAGACAGAAAGCAAACATATATGCCAAGGTAACTGAATTTTCCTATTTGTTGAGATAACCTGGAGACCCATCCTAAAAATATATGTCTGGGCCTCGACACTTTGAGTAAGCTTTGCTCAGCAGATCAGTCTCAATCTCCAGATAGATGCTTATGTGTCTGCCCTTATGTACTCTGATAAGAAGTCTGGACACTAGCCAAGGGAACACAAGAGGGGAAGTGGAAGGATCAATGAAATACATAGCCTTTATTTCCACATCTCAATGAGCAGCTCAATAAATCCTGACATAAAATATTTTAAGGCTTGATTAAAAAGTACCTGCATATATCTATAAACATGAAAAACTATCTTAATATCTCTACCTGCATGTACATCAAGAACTTCAAATTGGGAGAAAAATATTAAAAAGTGTTCTCTCTACCCTAAACATGTGCCTCCTTCTGATATCTCTAAAATGTTCATGGTATCTAAACAGAGAATCCAAACGAAATGAAAAGAAATAGGTTAACTTCCTTTGTAGTTGCAAAAGAAGATCCAAACAGAACTATTTCCAAGTTTTGCAATAAAGATTTTCATTGTTTTTACCTCAGTTTCTTATTCCTTAACAATTATAAGTCTGACTTCCATACTAGCCACTTTAATAAAATCCTCCTGTTACTAAAGTTCTATGGTTTTCCTGGGACCCCATTCATGGTCCATTCTTCATTCATTCTTGCTATGCCTTCTTTTTCTCTGATTCCAGTCACCACAGATAAACCAAATCTGTACTTGAGTTTAAAACTCAAAGGATCAACTATCTTTGACACTATCTCAGATTTAATATGTTGGTAATAAGACATTTAAAAAAAAAAGTCCTTTCTTTTCTCTCCACCCTAAACCTAATCTTTCTATATGCCTGAGTGTTCAATGGCATCGTGGAGGTTTAAAAATAACTTCACTAAATCTTCCTATACTCCTCCCTTGTGAATCCTCAGTGTGGACTTGGTGACTTATTTCTAACAAGGAAAATGTGGCATAATTGACAGTACTTGACTTGGACTGAGTCATAAAATACACCGTGGTTTCCTTCTTGCCCTGTCTTGGACTGCTCACTCTGATAAGCCAGTTGCTACGTCATGAGGACACTCAAATAGACCTGTGGAGAGGTACATGTGGTGAGGATGAGTTACGGCTGACAACCAGTGAGAGACTGAGGAGGTCCACCATGACCTCGGTGAGCTTTCTGGGAAGCAGATGTTCCAGCCCCATGCAAGCCTTCAGACAACTGCAATCCCAGCCAACAGCTTGACTGCAACTTGATGAGACCCTGAGCCTGAGGCACCCAGGTAAGCTGCATCTGAACTCCTGACCCACAGCCAAGTCTGAGATAATTATTTATGGACTTGCCTGGTGGTCCAGTGGATAGGAATCCACCTGTCAGTGCAGGGGACATGGGCTCAGTCCCTGGTCTGGGAAGATTCCACATGCCAAGGAGCAACTAGGCCTTTGCACCACAACTACTGAAGCCCATGAGCCTGGAGCCTGTGCCTCAGAACAAGAGCAGCCGCTGCAGTGAGAAGCCCATGCATCGCCATACAGCAGCCCTAAAGCCCATGTGCAGCAGTGAAGACCCAGCGGGGCCAAAAAGAAACACATTTTTACAAAGTCTTAAAACGTACCTGCTCTTTAAAAAAAATGATTTGCGGCTTTAACTAGCAAAGTTTTGGGCTAATATTTTTTTTTAAATTGTTTTCAATTGGAGGATACCTACTTAACAATATTGTGTTGGTTTCTGCCATATATCAACATGAATTAGCCATAGGGATACATTACATCCTCTCCGTCTAAAAATTCCTTCCTACTTCCCACCCCATCCCACCCCTCTAGGTGTCACAAAGGACTGGATTTGATCTCCCTGTGTCATACAGCAAATTCCCACTGGCTATCTATTTTACATATGGTAACATAAATGTTTCAGTGCTACTCTCTCAATTCATCCCATCCTCTCCTTCCCCCACTGTGTCCATATTTCTGTTCTTTATGTCTGCATCTCCTTTGTTGCCCTGCAATTAGGTTCGTTAGTATTATCTTTATAGATTCCATATATATGGGTTAATATAAAGTATTTTTTTCTTTCTGACTAGCGTTACTCTGTATAACAGGCTCTAGGTTCAACCACTTCATTTAGAATTGACTCATATGTGTCCCTCTTTATAGCTGAGTAACATTCCATTGTGTATATGTACCACAGCTTCTTTGTTCATCTGTCAGTGGGCACCTGTTGCTTCTGTGTCCTAGCTAGTGTGGGATAGTAAGTCTATTATACAGTAATAATAGCCACCCGGCCCAGAATTCAAGGAATACAAGTGGAGAAAGGGAATGGACATGTGGAGCAAGCTTTCCTCTTGCTCTGCCACACTCCTTATACTTTCTAAGCAGTGTATTTACAAAGCATCCCATGAAGAACCTGAAAGCCATATTTTACTCCCCCTACCAACTATATCACCAAGTTGTCAGTTTTTTTTCTCTTATCACTTGAGCCTGACCCTATTTTTGTTACTTTAATTCAGTTTTCAATTATTATAACTTTGCAACTTATCTACTTCCCTACAGTTTTTCCCAGCTCCATTCCATTCTCTACACTAATGCCAACAAGAACTTTTTCAAAATTATACCTGATCATGTTATTTATTTTTATTAAAAATCACTACTAGTTCCCACACTACAGAGGACAAAATTCAAATGCCATAGCATAGCACGCCTGTTCCTGTCCTATAGCCTTTTCTCTCATCTCCCATGCTCATAGCCTACAATCTGGCTGTCTTTCACCTCTGCATATGCTGCTTTCTTTCTGTGTGGAAGATCTTTCATTCTTTCCTTATAACTCTTACTTATTTTTAAAGACTCAGCTCAAGGTTTATCCAGACTTCCTTAATTATCAGGTCCTGGTTAGATGACTTCCTTACATTACTTTTTTGGGGTACTTACCACATAGATCAGTATTGTGTCTTCCACTAGAAGGTTAGCTCATGGGAAAACCAAAATCTATCTTCAATACTGAGATATTCATCTAGTCATATATTCAAGTTCTATCTACTGAGCAACTATGTATTATGTATGTTATACACAAGTGAACAAAACAAATATGCCCCACCTTGGCATAGCTTGTAGTCTATTTAAGAAGAAAGACAGTAATAAGTAAAACAAACAAATATTCTGATATATGAGTAAGAATTTTACGAGAGTAAACATGGGGACCAATTTTAGGTTGTGTGGCACACAGATAGACTCAAACATTTACTGAGTGAAATGTTTATGCCTTAACTACAGATGTAAGTGGGGCAGGCTCATCATATCCTTGCCAACACTGACTGCTTTTGTTTTTGTTTTTTTAAAAACATCTTTGCTCATACTGACAATGTCACTTTCTTGCTTATACATTCTCAGTACTAAAAATCAATAAAAAGAACACAAGACAAGTTCAAATATACATTAGAAAAAAGAAGCTTGATTAAGCACAAGTGGAAAACAAAAATTAGCTTTATATATATTATCAGAGTTACTCTAGTAAATGGCTAAGATAATTTTAAAATCTCTTATCACACATTTTATTAAGTGAAAACTAATACTAAAAAAATGAAAGCCATGTCTTTCTGGCATTCAGAAGTCTGAAGCAATCATTTTCTTAGCTTTTCTAAAAGAGCAAATTACTAGGGAATCCCTGCCTCTCCCATGGTTCACTGCCAAATGAATCACAAGTGGAGTATTTCAGGAAATATGGGCATGTGACAAAAGTTAAAAAAAAAAAAAATGACCACTTGAAACAAGGCTCAATGTTTTAAAAAGGGAGGAAACTTATTAAAATACATAAGACAATTTCATTAATAACTAGTCATTAATTAAAAATATTATATAACCAACCAAAAAACTCAAAACAAACTTGGTAGTAAAAAGAGTATTTAAATGCTACTTACAAAAAAAAATAAATGCTACTTACAACAGTTGAGAAGGGTGCTGGGGCTAATTTCCTATATTAATATAAAATGCATAAAAAATTCCAAAAACAAACTTTGCCTTGAATTATAAAGCTTGTATTTTATAAATGATGCACATATTTACTGCACATTAAAGAATAGGAATACAAAAATTAAATGAGTTCATCCCTTCATAAGTACAAATAGTTGGCTACTATAACATTAAATGATTGAACCTTTCCTAAATTTACCTTCATGGTCCTGAAAATTTTAAATTAATTAGTATAGATGAGGAAAAAGAGCTTCTGTTTTACCACACGTTAGTCTTTCTAGTTGAAATATGAGATTTTTCTGGAAAATACACTCATCTCTTTGTTTTTAGTAGTGTATTTCAACACCTAGCCAGGATTTGTGCCAAGGGACAGAGGCAGTCACCGATCCTGTTACACCACAAGCTTTTTTTGTTTAAAACAAACTGATGATTGCCCAACAAAAAACTGTTAACTTCCTTGTGAATTTTCATAGGCAGAGAGCTTTTTATTTTTCTTTTTGGCTTCTGCAGTGGAATTTCACCAAAGTTTTTAAAGGTATTAACTTTGTAACTTGCAACAATCATCATTTTAAATCAGTATAGAAGAACTGTCAGATGGGTCAGAAATAGGGTTTACGTAAGTCAAAATTATTTCTGACAGTAGCAAGATTTAACCTTCTGAGCAAACCTCAATAGACCAGCATTACAACTGAAATTGTTGCTAAGTCATGTCCGACTCTTTGCGACCCCATGGACTGTAGCCTGCCAGGTTCTCCTGTCCATGGGATCCTCCAGGCAAGAATACTGGAATGGATTGCTATTTACTCCTCGAGGATTAATCTAATACATAATGATAAATATTGCTCCTGAAAGAGCAAATTATTTTCCTACTTACAATTTTTTGCTAAAGGTCGAGTATAAAAATATTTTCTTCTCTCTATATTTCCCTGCCACGATAATGCTAAAACATATCTATAGTCTCCTCAAACCTCAGGTGTTAAGGGCATATTGGCCCATTTGAGTTGGAACACTGCTTCACATAGTCAAAGTGTTTTTTTAAGGCACTCTAAGAACTGTCAAGGACAGTGAAATAAAAACATTCCTGTTGCCTACAGATTTTTCAGGCATATTTTCTCTCAAATTTTTCTAAACTAAATGTTGTGATAACTGGTTTTTCTTTGTTTTCCATGGTACAGTCTTTAAGTTATTTTTCTTTTACTTGAAGCCACTCCTTCATTTTCAACTTGCTGAGCAGGCAGACTTTTCGTTTCCATGGAAACTGAATTCCTGTGGCTTCTGGTAGGCATTCTTGTTCCACCAGTCTAGGAGAAGAAGCAAAGAACAGGACAGTTTAACATGTTTATAATACAGTCAACTCTATTGTTTACACATGGAATAATTACCCTGCAAATTGTCCTTCATATATTTTTAGCCTCCAGCCACTTAATTGCTTCTAAGCAAGCTTTAATCTGACAGAGTTTTAAAGTATGACATTTTCAAATAACAATCAGGGAAGCAGACAGATCAGGGTAATCTGAGAGGAGTGAAGAGGAAAATCACTCTTTTGTGTTAAATTTGGAAAAGTTTGAAATATTAAATGAGGAAAGGAAGGAATGACAGACCTTTAGAGCAATGTGCTTACAATAATGAAATTGAAGGGCAGTAGAAAAGAAGAAATGAAAACTAAGAAGGGAGGGAAAGGAACTATAAGAAGGTCAGAGATGGTAAAGACAGGGAAGAAATTATGAAATGGAGAAACAGACAAAGAGTAAGAAAAACATAAGAGTCCAAAAGAGAAGAAAGATACAAAGAATAAATGTGAAAGGAAGAGAAAATAAGACTCCAGTTTGAAAGGAAAACTGAAAAATACCCAACAAAAACTGTAGCTAAAATGGCTTAAAATACCAATAACTCATTCTGTCTATCCTTTTACTTGTTCCAACTAATTAATCACATTTATGTATTCTCTTGGCCAAAGTTAACAATGTACAAGAAGTTGTCATTTCTAAAAGGATTCTCTCAATAATAAGAGCGGAGAACTGAAAAACATAAACAACTTTTGTAAACCATAAAACTACTCTAAATTACAAAATAATCCTCAATATCTGCATTCTAGCTATTTCTCCAAAGGAACTGTGGACATTTGCAGATTAATACAGCAAGAACAAAAAACAAACAAACAGAAAATATCCACAGGATATACAAGTGATAGATGTTGTGGAGTGAAATATTGAGAACAGAGGCCTCAATAACTTTGACTCAAAGATTTTTGGCAGCAGGGAAGGAAAAGTTGGATTCACTCATAGAGGAGACAAGTTTTCCTTCAATTAAACTTGAACTGGAACTTCTTACATGATATAAAGAATGAGCTACACAGTAAACAGTATCTCAAACCATGGTTTTACAAAAGTTTCTGAGAAATATCATTCAACTGTTATTTCTAGGAAGGATGCTATAAAGAGTGTAACATTAATTATATCTAAAATATTGAGTTATAAAAAATACTTAGCATTAAAACACAATTTACTTAACATTTTATTGTACTTTTAATAAGGCACTGCAGTTACTAATTACTAACACTTGCTTTTATATTTTCCCATATCCTACTTATTAATTTTTAATTGCATCACCATAATTTTATTCTATGTATTCTTCTGCAAATTGCCTCAGATATTTAATGAAATAAAACAGTATACATAAAAACTGCAAAAAAATTATAACTCCTTTTCATAGGAACATAGGGATTTAACTGTGTGGTTGCCTTGCTCATGCCCTCACTGGGCAGGCTAACAGAATTTTCTTTAGCTGAGCATAAACCTTACAAAAACCAGAAAGTTCTGCTAAAATGACTGGGTTCACAAGAGCATATAACTTTACCTAATCGTTCCAATAAACATTGTTTTTAGAATGGTGTTGTGATTAACATGGCAAATATGGACATCAGGTTGAAATGCACAGTCAGTGAAACAGATTAATAATAAACAACTTAGTGGAACATTTTACTTCAGAAAAGATCCTACCTTTTGTTGTGCTGTGGGACCCAGTGACTTAGGTGGAAAAGTGCAAGGTATTCTTCCATGATGGATATGATATGGTAATAAGAGGCTGGGGTCTAAAGGGACCCAGGGAACCGAGAGGCTAGAAGGCACACCAGGAAGGCCGCAGTGCGTTTTATGCAAATTGTACGCTGTCCGAGTAACTTTTCCATCAGAGGTTTTGTAGATCAACAGTGAAGAATCTTCTGCGGCGTGAGACAACAAGTAGGAACCCTCCTGCAAGCTAAATCCACACAGTAAAACTCAACTCACTGATTCACTGTGTCAATTTCAATAGCACTTTCTTAACCATGATCTATTAATAAAATTAAAAAACAATTAGGGGAATGGGACATCATCTCTAAAAACACTCTGATGATCATATAAGACTTAAGAATCTTCTAATCTATTTTCATATTTTCATGCCTTTTCAGCAACTAGTTTTAGTTCTTATTACAAATTCAGGATGTATAATTATTTTCTTTTCACTGTTATGTCAGTCAATTTGTAAGTTTTCAATAATTTAATGGGAAACACATGTCTAATTCTCTAATTCCTGGACAACACATAACGAAAAGTACAGACATGTAAGTATGTAAGAACATATACATACATTCCTATATACAACATTTAATTAAACAAGCACTGTACCTACTTTCTGTCTACTAATAGGTGAACAGAGATAGAAAGGTGAATGTGACACACTACACTGAGAAGTTTAAAATAAAGTGGCAGAAACAGTCAACAGAACAATCACAACACGAGAGGCCCTGAGAATAATAGCAACCTAAGCAGTTAACAGGTATTGAATGTTTATCATGAACTAACTGTTGCACTGTTTATGTCCTTTTTGTCATTAAATTCTACATAACAAATCTTGAAGGGATAAAATTATTAACTCCGTATTACAGACAAACAAAAATTAGAGATGGTAAGTAATTTACCCAAGTTCTGAGTGCAGGACCTGCATATAAACCAAGGCAGTCAAACAACAAAAAAACCCCATACCCTTAATTATGATCCTGTACTATCACAATAGTAAGTTCTGTCAAATCTACATTAAACACTTTCTCTTTAGAAAGCTTTAAGGAATTCAGTGTAACAACATGAAGAGCTAAAAGGATATGATTGACATACTGTGTGTTCCTTTTTTTTTTTTTAACACTCTTCCAGCGCAAAGGTACTATGGAGGATATCAGTTCTTCCTCACAAACTATCATTAAAAACAAGGATTAATCATACTTATAAGTCATTCTTCCTCTCTAGAATTTGTGAATGTTACCCATCAATGGCTTGTAAACATGATTAAAGACACAATGTAACAACAAAAGCAAAAATGTGAATGATGTACTTTGAAGATGGAATAAGGGACTACAATCTAAGAAATATAGGTATTTTTCCAACAAAGGCATACAGATGGCCAATACCTCTAATCATCAGGGAAATGCAAATCAAAACCACAATGATATGCCACCTCACTCCTGTCAGAATGGCTATCACCAATAAGACAATAAATAAGTGTTGGCAAGGATGTGGAGAAAAAGGAAACCTTGTACACTATTGGTGGGATTATAAACTAGTGCAGCCACTATGGGAAATAGTAGGGAGGTACCTCAAAAAATTGAAAATTGAACTGTCATATGACCCAGCAAATTCTACTCTTGGGTATTTATCATATATCAAAAAGACAAGAACACCAATGTTCATTGCAGTATTATTTATAAGAGCCAAGATACAGAAGCAAGTGTCCATTGATGAACAGATAAATGTGATATAAGTACAATGGAATACTACTCAGTCATAAAAAATGAAATCTTGCATTTGCAGCGACATGGATGTATCTAGTAGGTATTGTGCCATGTGAAATAAGTCGGAAAAAGACAAATACCATATGACCTTATGTATATATGGAATCTGAAAAGCCAAAGAAACAAACAAAATTAAGATAGACTTACAGATACATAAATAAAAGGGTGGTTGCTGACTGGGGGTAGTGTGTGTGTAGAGAAACAGGCGCAGGGGGCTTAGGAGGTGCAAACCTTCAATTATAAATAAGTCACAAGGATGTAACACAAAGCATAAAGAATGAAAACTATTGTAACAACTTTGTATGGAGATATATGGTTATTAGACTTATTGCAATCACTTCATAATGTATACAAATATCAAATCACTAGTACACCTGAAACTAACATAATATTGTACACTAACTATATATATTTCAATTAAAAAAAAAGAAATATAATCCGCCACTAGAAGCTGAGAATTAGGCAAGGAAACAACTGCCTCCTAAAAGCTTCCAGGAGAAGCCAGCCCTGCTGACACAAGTTTGGTCCAGTGAAGAGAATTTCAGATCTTTGAGTTGCAGAACTGTAAGAGAACAAATCTGTGTTGTCTGAAGCCACTAGGTTTGTGACAATTTGTTACAGTGGCAATAGGAAGCCATTATAATAAGCTGTACAGAAAAAAATGTTTAACTGTAAGCCCAGTAAAGACAGATGCTATTACATTTCCTTCTTATTTATATTTTCACAATTCCACTTTGACACAACAGAATAAATTTTGTATTTCTAGGTTATTTTCTGTCTATTCCTAACAACATGTATTCAAAGTTTTTTCACCCAAGAAAATTACACATATCAATGAAAAATGCCTCCAGAGTACTTACCTACTTAATTTTCTTAGAATGTGTTGGAGGATGTTAAATAAACTTGAAATCCTATTAAACAGAAGAAATCCAAATAAAATTAAGGAACAAAAAAAACTTACTCTTAACAACTATTAACTCCTCGGGAAAAGAAAAGTCTCAATAACAAAAGAAAACAACAGATGAAATAATGTAGAACAAATATCAAAACGTATTTCTAACTTGACTGAATTTTGTTATTTACTTCATTTTTGCCATTTTCTGATTTCCCTTAAAAATCATAAAGTATTTTGGCTTGTATCAGTCAGAGCAGTGATCAGTAAAGAGATCACTATTTTATATTCAAGCTATGATTTTTTTAAAGAAATGTATTTCCCTTTAGAGTTCGTGTTTTTTAAAAACATGTTTTTGTTTTGTTTTTCTTGGCTGTACCACGCAGCATATGGGATCCTAGTTGCCCCACCAGGGGTCAAACCCCCCCTGCACTGGAGCATGGAGTCTTAACCATTGGACTGACAGGAAAGTCTCTCAAACTATAAACATTTTAATAAGTTTATAAGTTTAAAAATTTTAAAGTTTAAAAGTTTAAAAAGTCTTTAGCAGAATTAATCTGCAGAAGAGTTTGCCTTTGAGAGGTGGTGGTGGTGAATTTCAAAGAAATTGACAGGTATTTTAAATGAATAAAAGGAAATGAAATGTAAGACACTGATTTAAATATCTCTTCTAGACCTACATTCATTCCCTTGATTATTTATTTAAAAATGATTTTCACTGGGAGAGGTAGAGCGCGCAGTGCATAAATGTATGGAAAAGCTTTTCTATTCACGTATGTAAATAAAAAGTTACCCATCAAAAGAAGTAATACTTATAACAGATGTTTAAGTATAAGCAAAGAAGTCAAACTTGAATCTGCAGCCTTCAAATACTATGACAGGCCCCAAAGCTGGAACTACAGAACTAATGTAAGTCAGGGCGATTTCCCACCCTTTCAGATGAATCAAATATATTAACTACCAAAGCTGTCATCCTAGCTCGGCTGTGTGCTCTGGGGAAAGTCACTCTGAGTTCCAGTTTCCTTATGTATAAAATGGAGATTAAAGGTACCACCAGTTCTTCCTGGAAAGTTGTGAGACGCAAATTAAATTAATTTCAATCTGATGTACAGTAACATTTGGTAGAAGAACAAATTTTTAGAAGTTAGAATACCTGAATGAGTGTATATATCCCTGAGCTCAAAGTCTGACTGGCCTATTTTTTCCCACCTCTGGAAAGAAGTGAGATATGTGTGCCCATAGTTCACCAAGATGGAAGACTCTCTATTGTTCTAGCCTCCTTTGTCTTAAGTAGAAATACTGGTGCCACTAGAACATTTAATTTGGAGATGGAAATTATTAATGTGAAATGGATCATAAACCGGATCAAGGAAAGCCTCAATTTATAAAAGGATGAAAGTCTTGAAAATAAATAATTTAAAGCAATATTTAGTGATAAAGAAAAATTAATGATCATATTAACAAGCTTTTAAATTTCCTACCACAAAATTTCTTACTTGAGTGCTGAAAGTTTTTCTTTCAATTCTTCTGAGGTAATTTCTTCAAGCAGGAAAAGCTTTGATGTAAATGCATCAATATGTCCTAAAATAAAGATCAAACTTAAAAAGAACAATTGCTGTATTTAAAAATAAAAAAAGCTAAGTTATCCAATTTTTTAAAGATTTTTTACACAATTGTCATAATTGTAAAGGAACTTTATATTCTAAAAAGAGAAATAGACATATTAAGTTTATTAAGTAAAAGTATATTTTAAAGTAACATATTTTAAAGTCAGATTATAAAGGAATATATATTAATTCTAAAATATTTGCTGAACATAGAAAAGGTTATACACATCCACATCAAAAAAATCATCTCTAAGTCTACAATTTAAGAACAACTGTTAAAACAGTGGTTTCTAATTTTTATTAAACTTGCATTTTTATGGAAATTAAGTTTTTAGAGAACTTCCCAGGTGGTGCTGGGCTTCCCGGGGCTCAGCAGTAAAGAATCTGCCTGGAATGCAGGCGCCATAGGAGATGTGGGTCTGCTCCCTGGGTCAGGAACTTCCGCTGGAGCAGGGCATGGCAACCCACTCCAGTATTCCTGCCTGGAGAATTCCATGGACAGAACCTGGAGGCCTATAGTCCACAGGTTCGCAAAGAGCCGTGACTGAAGCGACTTAGCATTCATGTATGCACATACTGTAATATTATAAAAGCAAGCAGATAAAATAAAATTTATAGTTTGGGTATGATAAATACATTTCTCAGACAGATTTGGTTAAGGTAAAAACTTGGCTTAATTATTCACAAAAGCCAAGATGTGCATAACCGAAGTGTCCACCAACAGATGAAAGGATAAAGGTGTGATACACACACAAATAATGGAATATTATTCATCCATGAGAAAAAAGGAAATACTGCTATTTGCAACAGCATAAAGGACATTGAGGACACTATGCTAAGTGAAATAAGTCAGAAAGAGAAAGATAAATACTGCATGATAACTTATATGAGGAATCTGGGGGAATAAAAGTCAAACTCATAGAAAGAAGTAGAAAAGTGGTTCTCAGGGGTTGGGGGCTAAAAGGGTACAAACCTTCAGCTACGAGATGAATAAGGTCTGAGGATCTAATGTATAACACAGTGACTCTAGTTGATAATAGTATACCATATAACTGAAATTTGGTAAGAGAGTAGAACTCAAATGTTCTCATCAAAAAAAAAAAAACAAACAAACCTGAAGGTGATGGATTTGTTAATTTAACTAGATGAGAGGAATTCTTTTACAATGTATACATATAGCAAATCATTATGATGTATGATTTGAATATCTTAAAATGTTATTAGTTTTACCTCAATAAACCTCAAAAAATCTGGCTTACTTTTTAATTAAAGCATATGATAAGATTTCCTATGGTTTATTTATTTTTTTTGGTAGCAAAGTTTTATTGTAAAATAAATTGATATAAAAAAATGGGATATAAAAAGGGAAGAGAAGGGGTGTGGGTGACACATGCAGATGTGCCCTGCAGAGTACAGAAGAAATCTGCTGAAGCATTTGGGGGAAATAAAACAGGTGCTGGCAGATAGAGCAGGGATGGAAGCCACTCGGATCCAGGACAAGGTGAGCTTTCCCCTTTGGTACTGAGGTTCACCAAGGGGTTATGATCTGGCAGGGCCAGGAGAGAAGGGACTCGGAGACTTCTTCCCTTTAACCAGCCAACCAGTCAGAAACTGTCAAATCATCCACCCAGGGGGACAAAGAACCAGCACCCACAAAAGGCACTAAGTCCCAGACATCATGTAATTTCCTACGGTTTAAAAAAAAAATCAAAAGAGTCTGCTCCAAGTCTTACTTTCTTATAAACATGACCTAATTCTAGAATTCAAAGAAACAAAACAGCAAACTTTCATGATTACACTTGCACATGTTCCCCAACAAAACAGATTGAGACACAACACTGAGGCTTTGGAATGTTCCAGGAAGTGATACAAAAGATTAAATGTTATATAATCACATTAATACAAAACCCATGTTATTGCACCAGTCAAAAACATCAATCGCATGAGTATAATACTCACTAATGCTGAAAATTGGAGAAGGCAATGGCACCCCACTCCAGTACTCTTGCCTGGAAAATCCCATGGACGGAGGAGCCTGGTAGGCTGCAGTCCATGGGATCGGTAAGAGTCGGACATGACTGAGCAACTTCACTTTCACGTATTGGAGAAGGAAATGGCAACCCACTCCAGTGTTCTTGCCTTGAGAATCCCAGGGACGGGAGAGCCTGGTGGGTTGCCGTCTATGGGATCGCACAGGGTCAGACATGACTGAAGTGACTTAGCAATGCTGAAAATAATATCACTTTAATTTTTTTAGCTTCCAAAATTTGGTTATCAAAACACATGACCTGGATAGTTGACATCAATCACAATGCAAAAAAAACTGCAAATATTTAATATCTCATATTTTATCTTGCCTCCTTTCATTTCATCTGCTTTGTGCTCATAAAAAAGAATTAGAAACATTTTTACCAGATACTTTTCTTCTAAGACAACAAATCTTTCCCCATGTCTACTTGTTCTTTCCTGTGCCAAATTTCAGTTTCCACCTCTGCATTTCTAACACTCATTACACAGTGATGTTTCTAATAAAAAGGACACAGTTTAATGGTTTAAAGACTGTCAAAAGGCAATAAATATTAAGTACAATAAAACAGTTTAGACATTTACTAAATGTGTCTTTGAGGAAACTCACAGTTCTTACCTTTTTAAAGCAATCTCAATGAAAAGTATGTATTATAGTATATGTCAAATATAGTTAGTCAAAAATATACAGAGAATACTGTACTAAGTTCTATGAGGGCTTCAATTCTCTCAACATTGGAACATTTTAACCTGTGGGCCTCAAATGAGTTCAGATGTTTATCTCCTCAGTCTTTGGGGCAATAGCTTCCTGGCCATTAACCCTCCTAGACTCTTTTGCATATCACAGTATGGTATCCAAATACTTTTTTAACTGTGTCAAGGTTGGGAAGGTTAGATAGTACAAATCAGGGCTTTACATACATGCATGAATTCATACATACACACACACACACATATATAGGCAGTCCCTACTCTACATGCAGTAGGGGATGATAAAAATAATCATGCATAAGCCAAAACTATGCAAGCAATTTTAATAATCAATGGGAAAAATTACAATTGTTCTATTACCTTTAAGGTTTTTTAGTCAAAACATTACAAATTCCCAATCAGTTATAAATGCATGGAGAAATGAAGACAGTAAAAAGTAATCTTTATTTAGTAGACTATAAATTGCAAACACTGAGATTTAAAGTGTTATTTCATTATAAAAAACTCATTAAGAGTCACCTGAATAGTGCCTGTCACCTTCTCTTGTTAAAACTTATGATAGGGAGCAAGCACCTTTTCTATGCTGTGGAGGATGGTCACACTTTGCAACTTTTAAGGTCATGAAATATCTCAAAGAGTTCCTTCAATGTAAAACACTGTGCCAGGGTCATTTCTTCATCCTTTACGCCACAAGCACTTTCCTTATTTATGTGAGTCAGTTCACTTTCACTAAGTTCCTCTGGTGGCTTACCTTGTCTCTTAAACATCAGCCCTGTCAACATTTCTACTGCCAGTTATTTCTTCTATAACTCCATTTATATTCAATTCAAATTCCATTTTTAGCAGTACGGTCTTTTGTTTCTTTGCTGTGCTTTAATCTTTGTTGGCCAATTCCCTCTTCTGATTATCCACTTTTACAAAAAACATCATGTGAGTTTATCACTGGGAGACAAGGAGGGAACACAACTAGACATTTTGCTTTCTATGCACAAACTCAGTAACAGGTACACAATGACCAAAAACACTGACAGACTCTTAAAGGAGTGATATGATTGGTGACTGGTCCTGATGCACATCTGTTATTTATGTAGTGATCTGTGGACTGAAGAGTCAGCAGTAAAGCTGGTAGTTTACACAATTACAGTTAATATACCTTTGTAACTGACATTTGTGGATATCAGAATAGCATAAAGGAAGGACTGCTTGTATGCTGACTATGCAGAATTGATATACATTAGATAACTGAAAAGTGGATACAGAAGTTGTGGTAAGATGACTTTGGGAATTTTCTTTAGGGAGTACATATTAGTGTTTGGGGCAAGAGGGAAAAAAGAACACAGCAATCTAAAGGAAGAGAAGAACATGTTCATAGTGAAGCAGGCAAACAAAAAACAAGTATTTTTATTCTACCTGAAAAGGAGACTAGGAGTTATAGGAAAGGTATTCAAGGTATGGTCCCTGGACTAGCAGCATTAGCACCACCTGAGAATATGCTACAAATGCTAAGTTTTAGGTTCCAATCCAGACCTATTGAATCAGACACTCCTAGGGTCAGGGCCGATAATCTTCAATCTAAAAGCTCTACAAATGACTGTGACACACAGTCAATTTAGATAATTGCTGAACTAGAGTCCTATAAATCAATATACTCTTCAGTTCAGTAAGTGACATTTTGTATCTCTTGTGTTTTGTATGAAACACTGTATCTGATTCTCTTAATCACACATGTAAACTCTATCCTCACTTTTCTCTCCAAAAGAACTAATGCAAAAAAAAAAAAAAAAAAGGAAAGCTCTAATGCACTGGTCCCCAGCTTGGATTTCTGAGAAGAAATTGTCTTAAATTTCTTTGAAATTTTGAGATCATAGAGCTGGGCAGGGAAAACTGACAATGAAATGCCACAGTTAAATGAAGGAGCGGCTAGCAAAGGTTGAGTGAGGAAAACACAGGTCACAACTTAGAAAGGACTAGGGTGAATGATTGCATGGGAAAGAAATACAAGCATGTGGAAATCTTCTGGTTAAGATTTTATCCCAGCTTCTAAGACACAATGAATTATTTGTATTCAGTCACACTGATTAACATTGTTATACACACAGTGCTTCATTTTTGTTATCTCTGACCCCCCCCCCCAATTTTTTCCTAGCCCTTTTTAGGTTGACAGCAAAGTTATAAACACTTAAAAACTGTGACTAGGACCTCCCTGGTGGCACAGTGAATGAGGATCTGCCTGCCAAT